ACATTTGCCGGAAAACCGGTGCCGGTAGCGACAAAAACTGCGGGGAATTACGCAAAAAACGCATGTTTGCACGGGCAGTCTGTGCGTTGGCCAATTATTTTGACCTATAGGTACCGAATGTGCGGGCCCTTGGTGGAATTGCACGAATCAAACTATGGGTGGATGATACGCCGACAACGAATATTTATCAGCACTTCGATCTAATCAGCGACCACGTAAAATTTTAACTTATTCCGCCACTGCCACTGTCTTCATTCTCAATAACATTGGCAATTAAAATATTACCAACGGCAGCGGCAGTAATAATAGTTATAATAATGGCTGTAACAATAACAATGCCACTAGTTATAGTAGTTTTAAAAGAATATAATTCTTCATTCAATTTGAAAGTAGTTTGCTTCGCTGAGCCTTGTAATCTCTTTCCACACGATTTGTATCCTCTTAGCTCTTCTTAGTTAAACCTTCCATTCAGCTGAAATTTTGCTACCTCACTCTCATAAAACGTATATTTTTAAAATTGTTTCCCGTTTTTTCCCACCTCATCACCAAAATTCCTACATCATCGTAGGCAACTACTATGAGGTGTCCGCCAGACATCGACACGCAGTTATGTAAGTCACAGTTAATTTATGCTTCATTCATCCCACCCCTGTTAGGTCCGCAACAAGCACTTGCCTGAATTCAGAAATTCTGGTTCCCTATAATTGTGCGAAGGCGGAATATCAGGAAGATTCCAGTCTTATTTGTTATCAGAAGCGATTCCAGTAAATTAACGGAATTAGTTTCGCTAATCAATTGTTTTGCTGAACCAGTCTTCATCCAAATGCTACTCAGTTTGTAGATTGAAGCGGTTATAGCAAGTGGCGGCAGTGTTTTGGTGCATTGCAAGGCTGGGGTTTCGCGCTCGGCCACAATTTGTCTCGCATTCCTTACCAAATTTCGATGCGATTCGCTTAAACAAGCTTATCAACTGATGGCGCGCAAAAGACCACTTGTTAGACCGAATATCGGCTTCTGGCGACAACTTATTGTTTTTGAACAGGTATATTTATGCTTTTTTTGCACCTGTGCAATGCGGAAAACGCATATTGACGAGAGGTTGTCTGTGTCTGTTTGTACGCTAAACCTCTGTACCGATTTTTCATCTTGAGACCTACAAAATCTACAGGGCTGAAATTTTGGGGACCTAATCTACATGCATGTACGGGTTCGCATCCCCAACATGGGTGGTCTTACCCGCGTGGTACCCACGTACGGGCCAGTGAAAGTTTTTTGCGGGTAAGTCGCTAACTCGCGAACCAGAAAGGCTAGAAAACTCAAATGTTAAGGGGATGTTCCTCGTCCACATACGTCTCAGTGAACTCAAACCTAGCCCTCGGGTGTGCGTGGTATCTATGCACAGGCCCATCAAAGTTTTTTTCGGGTAAGTTGCTAACTCGAGAATTTGGAAAAATTTTAAGGGGATGTTCCCCGTCCACATAAGTCTCAACGAACTCAAACCAAGACATCGGGTAAGCGTGGTTTTTTAAGGGGGTGTTTCCTGACAGTTCTGGAGGCCAGAACTGTCAGGAAACACATTTGCCGGAAAAACCGGCGCCGGTAGCGACAAAAATTGCGGGGAACTATGCAAAAAACTCATTCGCACGGCAGCTCATGCTTTGGCCAATTATTTTTATTTGATAATGAAAAGTACCTGACATAAAAAAGTTATAAATAGGGAGGAAGAGGAGGTTAGCTGTATAGTAAAACAATGTTTTTTTTTTTGAATTCGACTTCTCACGTATGATAATCCGGAAGAGTTAAATTGCAGCTTGTATTCAACTTCTTGGAATGCTTTGTTGAACTAATTTGAAGTTAAGCAATTTCCATTATTTACAGGAAGTAAAGAACCGTTCTGC